AACCCTAAGCCCTAAAACCTTGAACCCTAATGGCTCCATGCAGAAGATTCGAGCTGATGCGCTCTCGGCTTGGGTGGCCGAGGCCTGCCCCAGAATCAGCTGGTTTTGCCCAAAACCGCAGAAACATCGCAAGCTGAGCCCCAAAGCCTAAACCCTATAAACTCGGACGCGAATCTTCTGGGCTTTTCCGTCGATTTTCCCTACAATAGCAAGGTTCGTCAGCGTGCCCAAAGACCGAGAGTTACTGTGTCTGTTTGTGTGTCTGTGTGTTCCACTATGCCACTACGCCCCTGGGTGGGCTTCCCGGAAGTGAGGTTCCTTTTTGCAGGGCCCTCGAGAGGTTCTGCAACAATCCAAAAACTGCTTGCCGACAAGTGCTTATGCATGAATGTTTATCGTAAATTCCGCACACGCGGGTAACAGCAAAAGTGCTATGGCTGGAATCGTCAGCAGAATACTTTCTTCACACCCCGAACACAAACCTGCAAGCATCCCACCGCATCCCATACACAATGGCCGGGAAGAAACAAACATAGTCATAATAAGATATCATAACAATCATACTAGTAATCATGATAATCATAATGATGGTAATCGTAGCAAAAGCAACAGTTACAATAATGGCACTTGTGAGCTTTATTCCCGTTATTCTCATGGCTTCTTGTTATTCTTGTTGTTACTACGGTCATGGTTGCCACAAGAACACTGATGATCATGAACATCAACATCATGATGCTGATGATTGTTGTTATTGCTATCCGACTTTGATGCTTGTTGTTCTTATGGGAAATCACCGGGGAGCTTGAGCTTCCCTGACATAGTAACCGCACTGCACTTACAGAGTGTAAACACAGAAATGATGCAGAGCTGCACAGCCGGACTGAATTCGCATCGTTGGAGATTTCGTGGTCCTAGTAGACATGAAACATATTGTGACAGTGCGTCGAATCCCTGATATTCCGCTTCGTGCCAGTAACCAGCACCGAAGAATACCTGCGCATGTCGGGGTCTAGGAGGTGGAGCTTCTTGAGGCCAAGGTCTACCTTAAGAACCCAAAACCTACTTTTTTGTAGGGTCCCTATAAATCCCATATTAGGGTTTATAATAAGAACCTACAAAAAAGTGGGTTTTGGGTTCTTAAGGTAGAGTCTAGACACCTCAGGGTGCTAATTACTTCGTACACCTGGAGCGTCAAACACCAACGTTTACTCTTATCATGTTATGCCCTAA